TACAGTATGACTCAGGGCTATGAAGTCACAGTGGGTTTATGCAGAGATTAAAGGATCAACAAGGGAGAGAGCGTGGGCACACAGAAAGTCCAGTAGCCCGCTAGAGAAACTACAAAGAGTACACAGCCCTGTTAGTCATGAAAATAAACTGTAATCAACATTAGATGCATTGGCAGAGTTGTGATCAATCAACTCAGCACTGTTTATCATCTCAACGGAGGAACATCAAGCTCTAATTATTTCTATGAGTGTGAAGAGTATGAGGACAGACGTTTGCGTCCTCTGAGGTGTCTGCCTCCTGGTGAATGAGGCAGCGTCAGATTACATCTCTGCTCTGTCCATCAATACAACACAGCCCTGTCCAAGTGTTCTTGAGCAAAACACTAAATGCATCCCAGTTACTTAAAGATCTCCTATCATGCTATTTTTAGGCATATATTATAGGTCTCAGATATATAAAAATGTATAAGAAACATGTCTATGAAGTGTTTGCTCAAAATACCAAAAGATCACCCATTCTAGCCATGTCTCATACACATATTTATGTATAAAAGACGTAAAAAAAAGTGCATTTTGCATGATAGGAGACCTTTAAGACTTTTAGGATATAATCAGCAAGTAAGTGGAATATTAAATCAATTTTAGCGAGCAGCTGTTTCCATGTAAAAAGCTCTAAAACACCACTGCAGCTTTCATGCACAGTTCAAACAAAGTTTGCTGGCAAACAATGCATGGGGAACATAGCATTTATCAGCAAACAAGCCAGATATTTCCCTTGGGAGTTAATTACTAAAGAAAAAACACTTAAGAGGAGAGGTAATATTGGACTTGCTTGCATCAGGTCACCAGAAACACAACTCTGAATATATGAGAGAAGTCGCTCTGTACCTCCTGCTTCTACAAATAGCAACTGTTTGCTAACACATTCACCATAGGTTGTGTTCACTGCTGGCTTGCATTGCCCCCAAAGTAAACAATAAAATCAGTGGTGGCATCAACCTGAATCAACCGTCACACTTATACACCAATGTAACTGAGAGTATTTGAAAACTATTTAGCAAATGAGCAGTACATAAAGTATAAAGTAGGGAATAAATGGCTCATATATCCAATTTCTGCCACACTAAGTGGTAATGGAACAAGTGCAATCATGATGGAGACCAATAGGATGCTTCACTTTTCATATGGTCTGGCTCGGTTGATTGGGGTCAAGAGATCCCATGTTCAAACACATACACATACACATATACACACACACACACACACACACACACAAATGCATCCATTTCAGGTTGGTGCGGTGGTGTTAATTAGAGTTGTGCATAAATGAAGGCAGATGTACTCCACCTCATACTTGGGGTCAATTAGCTGTGACAGCAAGAGCTACACGATCCTAAGACCCAATTAATGAGAGGATTTAGTTATTATCACACCGATTGGATATAATTACATTGACACATTTAGTGTTATGGTTAAGTGCTGGGTGGCAGATGCTAAGACTACCTACTGAAAGGACCGTTTTTAATCATGTGGTCATTTCTGTGGCACTATTTTTACTTTGCGGCATCAGCCATTTTTATTGAAGACAGTGTTGTTGAAGTAATCTATACTAGATACATAGATAGATAAACTCAAAGTTGAACAGATATTGACTCCCTACAGATAATCCAAAGCTGCTGACGAGATCATAACCAGCTGACATTGGGACCAGATAAATCCCCATTATGTCTAATCAGAAGACGGTTCAAGGTGAAAGCACCAACCGCTGCCTTTTAGGTACGAGGGCCAATTAATCTTGTAGGTTGCATGTTCACACATTAGCTATGGACTTAAATCAAAGCAAAACACCTCAGGGAGACCCAAACTGTCAACTTGAGGATACAACACTTGTATCATATGATGAAATTACACATGTGCAAACCAAAGGAGATTCATTCCCTCTCCAGAAGTGTTGAATGTGGACTCTTTATTTAACTGAATATTAAGCAAAAGAGCGATCAGAAGCCAAAGGCAGGTGTGAAGCTCTTTGTGAAAAGTCTAGAAATTATATTTTCACACTTCTGCATATATACAATTTCTCCAGGGATAGACAGATAGATCTGTTTGGAAACTAATTTCAAAGATTAAACATGTGAAACAATCTCAGCACCAAAGGGGGATTAGCTTTCATTTTACCATAAAAGAAAACACAGGAATAGCCAGCAGCCTATCGTACACACATGTGTTGTGTTCTCTATCTGTGACTTAAAATAACAATTCTTCATAATCCAAATCGCAATACGTGTCTTTGCTCTTTATTTGGCTCTAAGGGTTTTGTCGATTGTGTTATTTTGTTCTTCAGAGAGGAAGTTGAGCTGTGATCCAGACAGAAAAAGAAACCCTGATAATTAACGACGCTGAAAACAGCAACACTGCTCTTATATGTCCCACACATACACACACACACACTTGTCACAGTCAAGTTCAATTCACCTACAGACATGCATGATACAGACATGCAGGGCCGGCCCTAGACATTTTGGTGCCCTAGGCGAGATTATGATTTGGTGCCCCCCCCCCCCCCCCCCTCCAAGCAATACACAATAGAATATATAAAGAATAAATGAAAAATGTCTACAAAAGACCAATACACTACAAAAACAGAAACTTATTGACATATGTAATATACATAAAGGTTTCAAATGTATTCATTGTATGAACATGTTTTAATTGGCGGGTGGATGTCACATCCTCTAGGGGGGTCCGGGGGTATGCCCCCCCGGAAAGATTTGTTTTTTAACATTTTAAAGTAAAATGCTTCAATCTGGTGCACTTTGAGCACACAATTACTAGAGACCTGATAGGAGGTACAACTCTAAAACACCCATATGAAAAAGATCGGTTTACATTTTAATAACCAAATAAGCATGTGAACATAACCAATAACCCACAGCCAATAACAATAAATGTAACATATTTATTTATTTTATCCTTATTATTAATATTGTAGTTATTAAATGAAAATCACTCATCAAACAAAAGTAGCTTCTCTTAAAACTTTAAGAAAAGAAAGTGCAAACGTGGACACAAATATAGCCAACTCTTACAACTGAGGTTATTGCAAATAAATTAAGATAATGAACAACATTACACACACTATAAATCAAATGAAACATGCAATCAGAACAACACGTCTCTGCTATGTTATTGTGTCCTTTAATTAGTCCACATCCTTAAAGTCGGACACGTCTGGACTTCCTTGCTGCAAATTCATTTATTGTATCGTCAAATGATATTTGCCCCGAAACCTTGCGATTGATGCTTATTAAAGCTAATCCATTGAGGCGTTCTTGAGCCATTGACGACCTCAGGTATGTTTTAATGAGCTTCAATTTGGAGAAGCTCCTCTCCCCAGCAGCAACTGTCACTGGAATAGTGACAGCGATCCTGAGGGCCACCCACATATTTGGATACACTTCGTTCATTTTTCTTCTCCTGTTGGAAAGTCAGAAGTTCCAGGGTGGTCATGTTGGCTTTTGGCAAAGCTGGGAAATTCTGCATCTCCAGTGCAAGTTCCCTCTTATCCAGGTCTGACTGTCCACCCCAGCTCAGGGTGTTGCTGAGTGTTTCACACTGCTTTGTCAGATCTTCCTTTGGCAGGTCAGGGAAGTTGAGTAGCACCCCAAACTTTTCCTCTACTTCACCTAAGGCCTTGAATCTCTCCTGCAGTGATGCAATGGAAACATCCACCACCATATTGAAAAAAGAAACTTTGAGTTTCTTTAGTGCATCACTCACTTGCTCCTCCGGGAACTCATAGGAGAACTGTCTCTTGGTTGTTCTCAGCCTCTTCTGCTTGAGAACAGCTTCCACATTCATTGGCCACAGATGTCTTTTGGCAGATGCTTGGGCAGAAGCAAATCCATTGCTTCTGTAGCTGACCAAAGAAACTTCTGTTTTTCTCAGGAGGTCAACAGCAATATCCAGCTGCATTGACACTGATTGCAACATTTGGCTGACATGTTTGATGTTGGTTAGGATGTCATACCATACCACAGTGCATATTGCAAAGCGGTATGATCCAACCTCTTCAGCCAAAGATTGTGCCTCAATTTTTACAACTCCATCTGTGGCTTTATCCCTCACCTCTAGAAGTGCATCTCTGACTTCTGCAGCCTGATACCTTACAGCCTCTGTGCTGTTGATCCGACTCTCCCATCTGGTATCAGACCATGATTTCAATGTGATGTTCACATGGCTTTTCTCACTGTATCACTCAGTGCTGGCCAGTCAGCAGGATCTGAGGGGACTGCAATGTTGGACTCAGATGGGCCTGGGCAGTCAGCAGGATCTGAGGGGGCTGCAATGGTGGACTCACATACTGTGCTCGTTATTCTTTCACCTGCAGGCAGGCAATCCAAACATGCAAAGAAGTTATTCATGCTTCAGTTTTCATTATTTATCATAATAATAACAATAATAATAATGACAAAAAGTAGTGTATTAACGATTACACAGAGACCATAAATGTTTGGCAAAACTTACATTCTTCAGAGTGTGATGTACATGGGAGATCAGATGTTCCTTCTCCAGCAACTGGGGGCTTTTTGAGGTATTTCTCAAGTGCAGCTGGAAAATTATAGGGTAGATATTAGCACATTACAAGCAAAAACATGTATATACAGTCAGGCAAAAATAACTGCTGCAATCTGCCTCAGCTGTATGCAAGTTCACAACTGGCCTATATAAAAGTTAGGTCTGGACTTTGAATCAGGGGGTAGCAAGTTCGAGTCCCACTGCAGTCAGCATGTCGTTGTGTCCCTGGGCAAGACACTTCACCCCAAATTGCTCCTGTGGGGATTGTCCACAGTACTGAATGTATGTAAGTCGCTTTGGATAAAAGCGTCTAACAAATGACATGTAATGTACATAATAACACATGCCCATATTGGTTGGTCAGCCTCACTTTATACAAAGAGCAGTTATCCAGAATCAGATAGCTTTCTTCTGGCTAACATTCACATTATTTCGTTACAGAAGCATATAAAACAAAGCATTGCACAATGATTAGACATTAAAAAGAGCAGAAAATAAACAAATTCTAAAATATAATAGAAAATAAACAGAAAAATAAATATATATATATATAGGCCTACACACAAGTTGACCGTGAAAATAAACTATCTGACAAATTAAACACTATTGGAGGATCAATTTACAGCTATCACAATAGAAAAGTAGTATATTATTTACAAAAAGATTATATAAGAATAATAACACATAAATAAAAACTTTAAATCATTTGTATTTATCATTCTGTATCAGAGGCTCGCGGCTAGCATGGCATCAAAGCTGTATCATGGGCAGGCTACCTCCTTAGCTAGCTAGCTAGCTTAAAATCAAATGTCTAACGGTCATACTGACTTTTTTATTTTTTACACAAGCCGACGTACCTCTGTCTTGACTTTCGATTCCTCCTGTTCTTTTTTCCGTTTCCTTCCCGTTGTCCCTGAAGGCTTGGACCTTTTCATTATGCTAATTGTTTGCCTCTTGCTGTTGCATCATTGCAATCTCTGACACTTTCAGCTGGAGCTGCCGCGTCACTTTGGCTGTGAGTCGCGGCCCGTGGGTGCCAGATAAGCGACCATCCCCCCCTTTCATCACTTACAGTTACAGCGCCCATCGTACAGGGCAAATGCTAAATGTTGCCACCGGCCCGGGGTGAAAAGGGTGTTTACTTTATTCGATTATTAATGTAAACGTATTACATCAAGGGCATAAAATTAGGCAGAATAACAAAAAAAAACTTTTTTATATTTATTTGTTTTTCTCCCAGCGCAGCGCCCCTCCAGATCTGGCGCCCTAGTTCGCCAGTGGGAAGGGCCGGCCCTGCAGACATGATATGCCATCCCTTTATAGCTACCATAGTTCAGGCTGCATATATGTTGCTAATAATAGAAATATCTAATCAATATACACACACACACACACACACACACACACACACACACACACACACACACACACACACACACACACACACACACACACACACACACACACACACACACACACACACACACTAACCTTGGGTTGACTTTCTGTACATTCTCCTTGCAATACTTGACAAAATAAGATCAACAATATTTCTCAACAGGGCCCAAATCATGTGTGTGTCAATAGTGTGTGAGTGTGTCCCAACCAGTAATGTGAATGGAGCGACAGATACCTGTAAGAGCGGAACAGTTGGAAGAAGAGGAGGAGACCTCTATTTTTGGAGATGGTATTCTCAAGGAGTCCCAGGGGAGTGGGCCGCTGTGGGCTCCTCTCCTCAGATGGCAGCGCTGGAGAAACCTGAAAGATGAGTAGACATAAGGATTTATTTTCTGTGGCCTAGCAACTGAAGACAGTAGGTATAATTCATCACATTGAAGTGCCAGAGGTGTAACCATTTTGTGAATGTGCTGGGTTGCAGTGTCCCTCCATACTTCCTTTTGCCAAGAACACTGAGTGATCTCCACCGATGTACTGATTGCCTGCTGTAGAGCATCATGGGACTAAATGTAACCACTACAAAAAGAGAAGAAGCCAGCCCATTTCTCCAACATCCAGACCTTTTCTGTTGCTGTGACAACAACAAGGATAAGAAGAGGCAACCTTGGAGGCCGGACAGCTTTGTGTCAATACAACACTAGCTTTCTCCCGAAGGCTGTCAGCTTTACAGAGCACTGACTCACACCTCCAAGATTTTCCATCTGTATTGAACTGACATATCTGTGGTCAAACTGTTTCAATGTGAAATTTGTAATCAGAAAAACACGACTGTAACCACCCAGACCACCACATATGCTAATGGCGGAGTACAAATGCATCTTGGTGGGTAATAGTATCTAATTGATAGATCTAGTTTGAAGCTAAGTGTTTCTGAATTGTTGCAATGGAGTTAAGACCCTGAGTGGCTGATTGATAATAAGTTCAAGAAGGGTAGGTCAGGTTAACTTGAAACAAAATACATTGACCTGTCTTTCTCTGCAGAGAGGTTCACCCATCTTTTAAGGCAGATGTACATCATGATCACCGGGCAGCCAAGGTATTCCTCCCCCCACCATCCCTCTCATCCCCATCACGAAATGAGGTCCTGATAGAAAGTCAAATTATTTGGATTTATCATATTTATTTCATTTGCTAACTGTTCTGTTTATGTAAACTGTAATCCTTAACATGAAGGTCTTAAAGTTGTTGGAAAGCATTCACAAAGCCAGGAATAATGTTTGGGGCAATTAATAATGTATCTCCTTTTTTAGTCAAAGGTTTTAGAATTTAAATACGATGAGTCTCAAAATACTTGAATCTGCCTTTAAAACTTCCGCCACAAACATCCAAATTGCCAGAGACCCGAGGGAAGTGCATTGTCCTCATAGACGTTACTCTGTCAGCAAAATCATAATGATCTCAAAGATATGAATTAACAGCAAACACCATCACAAGTTATAATTTGTAGTTATGAGTCATGTGCCAGGATTTTATACTAAAATGTAAGAATGAGACATGAACAAATGAATGAATGATAGGCACGGTTAGATGAATGACAGGTGAACAAAGCATGTATTTTAAAGAAATATAACTACAATCAAATTTGACACGACAATTTCTTTATGGCCGCTAAGTGCTGATTGCTTTAAGATGAAAGGAGGTTAAGATTTATGCAGTGTTTTTATTCACTCCAACAAAACAGGTGAGTCATAAACACACACACACACATACACACACACACACACACACACACACACACACACACACACACACACACACACACACACACACACACACCACACACACACACACACACACACACACCCACACAGGTGAGTTGGTACAAGATAAAACCAAAAGCTTTCACCCTGAAAAAGCTGTCAGACAGGCCCCCAAGGGTACTGCATCATTCACTCCGCACACTGGTCAGTCCATCATCTGAGGTCTGTTGAAAGAGCCTGTGGCAGGGATCTGGTGTTTAGTCTGACATCTTGTGGAGGATATTAGCATTTCAGCTACAAGACAAGTCCACCTCTCCCTCAGTATAACTTCCAAATAGGCCTATAAATCATTTGTTGAGGTGTTTATTATTATGTAGGAATAGTTGGATAAAGTTAGCTATGACTTTCTCAAATACTATTAATATACAAATAAAAACAAATTAACGTTATTTTGTGAATGTAGCTACCAATCAACATTTCAAAATCTTGTAGGCTATATACGGATTAACTGTAGAATTACAGAAGATATATGTAGAAACCATAGGTAGAAACACATGTAGCCTATCTATGCCGTAAAAAAAAATCTTTAAGACATGAATATCATATGTCTTTCTGGGTGTAATCTTAAATATCATTCACAATCTCTTAAATTATTCTAGAAATACCTGCTGTGACGTAGAAATGTCCAGCAGTCGATGATTGAAGGGAAAATGTGGTCTTGAATACGGTGAATGCTGGGAAATGTAGTGTCTGGGCTTTCTTGGCTTCACGACAACCTAAACATCTTAAAAGAGAGGACAATAACATATAATTGCAATATCAGACTGGAAAAATAAAATAAAAATAAAACAATGGGTGGTGTAAAGGTTGGCACCAGAGTGTGATCCAAATCAAAAGGAAGTACTTAAAACTGACTACAAATCCCAGAGTGTTTTGCGAGCAGCAAGTTCCTTCTGGTACTTGTAGTCGGGGTCGTTTCCGTGCATCTAGCGTTCGTTAGTTAGGTGGAGGAATCTGCTCTGCAAAGACAAACACATGTGAAATTATTGATCAGGTAGGGCAAACACTTCATTCCGCCGGCTCGCGCCTTTTGATCTGGTCGTTCGGATTAAACATGTAAATTAATTTCTAATGGTCAGTGCTTAATGTGTCCGTTAATCTAGAAGCTATAACCAGTGTGCAGAATCAGCGTTTACATGGCGATGCATTTCCTTTTGTTCAGCTAGCTTATGTGTAGAAATACCACATTCTCAGAGTTCTACTCATTAAAAAGATTAAAAACAGACACTAGCAGGCTTCCTTAACGTCGGCTACCTAGCTGTTTCCTATTTTAGACTCACTGTAGCTACACATTCCCGAGGACACTCGACACGTTGACATTTAGCTAGACCCGGTAAGGAAGTTACATATTAATGTGCCATATGTGTTGCTGTGTAAATGTATACCTGTAGTCTGTATTAGCATTGAGCTAAGATAGTTAGCATTAGCATTGGGATGTTGTTTACATCCGGTAAAGCGGGTCTGTTGGCTCATTTGCATTGAATGTGGTTCACTGAGCGCAGGGTAACCAAAGTCTGCTCAAAACTATTTCTTAAACATTTTGGATTAAGATTTAAGTGAAAAGGTCCTCTGATATTCACTAACGGAACTGTCTTTTGTTTCACAGGGTCGTGTGAATTTATGGAAACATGTCAAAAAAACGGGCCAGGTAGGATCACACAGCATGACTCCCATTTGACCCTGATGTGTTACAGTGTTTGACAGCATCAGGATTAAAGGATACGTTTTTTTCCATTATGAAAAACCCAATGTGGCACAATAATACTGCAGTCCATTTATTGTCGTCCAGAAAAAAACTAATACAAAAACAGTAGGCTACACTCCTTTAGAGCATTCTTTAAATTGTATCAGGAAGAATGTATTCAGCAGCAACAAAACAACGGTCAATTGTCTGTGCTGATAATATAGCTTGGATGTAACTATATAAAAGGATAGAAACTTAGATAAAACATTCCAAAAAGCTCCATAAAATTAGGATTGAGTACATTGTTATTTTAATACATAATTAGATTTTATTATGAGTTCTCTATAACTCATACAGGCATATTAGGCTTATGCATTTGGTTTATGATATGTTATGTAGGTTTGGCTTATGCTTTTATCGCCTGTAAAATCTGTCAAACATCTGTCGTACTTCATTAGCACAACGTATACTCAGATAAAGCCTTTCTACTCAGCTCCCTGCACCATTTTTGCAAACACTTCGTGAAGTCTATGTCCTGCAGATGTTGGGCAAATTCATCATTACAGGTTCACAGGCCAAACTCAAATAACATCTCAGCACAAAGGCTACATATGTCAGTCTAAGTAATGGCACCTTTAGAGGCACTAAAGCGAGACTTAATTGAAACGATAATTATAAAAAGATCACTGAAATTGGTTGCTGTAACTCACCGATCCCCTAAGCCTGACACTTGTGTGTGCATATGTAACATTTCACAGTTTAGGACAATAGTACTCACCTGGCACCCTGGATTTTTGGACACGGCCTCACTCAAATAACAAATATTGATTGACTAACTCAAAGCTTAAAAGTACCCACAAAGGTTCATAATACTTAGGATTTTCAACCTATATGTTAATATAAATATAGCCTAATTCCTTCGATGTTCACAGGAAGCGTAGCAGTGGAGAGCTGAGTGAGAGTTCGGCGGCGACCCTGAGCCCAGACCCAGACAATCTGCTGGGCCGAAGGATCCAGCACTCCTGGCGGGAGAAGGGGAACGTGACCAAGTGGAAAGGAACCGTCCTGGAGCGCCTTACTGTGAATACCTCCCTCTACATGGTCAAATATGACGGCTTTGACTGCGTGTACGGCATCGAGCTCTTCAAAGACAACCGGGTGACCAACCTGCAGGTGTTGGCAGAGAAAGTTGGTGAGTGTGTCGACGTCTATCACACGCAACAGTTATTCAATTAGTCAAAAAAGAGAAAGAATAATAATAATACTATTTTGATTTACTTAATGTCCTGGTCGTGGAACGACGGATCAGCTTTTTACTCTCGCAAGGATCCTGGGAGTATGCTTATCCGGTCTACATGTGTTTTGTAGACTTGGAGAAGGCGTATGACCGAGGTCCCAGGGAGTTACTGTGGGAGGTGCTGCGGGAGTATGGGGTGAGGGGGTCTCTACTCAGGGCCATCCAATCTCTGTACTCCCAAAGCGAGAGCTGTGTCCGGGTCCTCGGCAGTAAGTCGGACCCATTTCCGGTGAGGGTTGGCCTCCGCCAGGGCTGCGCTTTGTCACCAATCCTGTTTGTAATATACATGGATCGGATTTCGAGGCGTAGTCATGGGGGAGGGGGTCTGCAGTTCGGTGGACTAAGGATTGCACCACTGCTTTTTGCAGATGATGTGGTTCTAATGGCTTCATCGGTCTGCGACCTTCAGCACTCACTGGATCGGTTCGCAACCGAGTGTGAAGCGGCTGGGATGAGGATCAGCACCTCCAAATCTGAGGCCATGGTTCTCAGCAGGAAACCGATGGACTGTCCACTTCAAGTAGGGAATGAGTCCTTACCCCAAGTGAAGGAGTTCAAGTATCTCGGGGTCTTGTTCTCGAGTGAGGGAACAATGGAGCGTGAGATGGGCCGGAGAATCGGAGCAGCGGGAGCGGTACTGCAGTCGCTTTACCGCACCGTTGTGACGAAAAGGGAGCTGAGCCAGAAGGCAAAGCTCTCTGTCTACCGAGCCATTTTCGTTCCTACCCTCACCTATGGTCATGAAGGATGGGTCATGACCGAAAGAACGAGATCGCGGATACAAGCGGCCGAGATGGGTTTTCTCCGCAGGGTGGCTGGTGTCTCCCTTAGGGATAAGGTGAGAAGTTCGGTCATCAGGGAGGGACTCGGAGTTGAGCCGCTCCTCCTTCGCGTCGAAAGGAGCCAGTTGAGGTGGTTCGGGCACCTAGTTAGGATGCCACCTGGGCGCCTCCCTAGGGAGGTGTTCCAGGCACGTCCAGCTGGGAAGAGACCAAGGGGTAGACCTAGGACCAGGTGGAGGGATTATATATCTTCGCTGGCCTGGGAGCGCCTTGGGATCCCCCAGTCAGAGCTGGTTGATGTCGCCAGGGAAAAGAAAGTTTGGGGCTCTTTGCTGGAACTGCTACCCCCGCGACCCGACCACGGATACATGGGAGAAGATGGATGGATGGATGGATTTACTTAATTGTTCAAGTAATTTTTCCTTCCAAAATGGCAGAAAATACTTTTACCCTTTTTTAATATGTAATGAATTGTACTACTTCACTTGGTTTTTTTAATTATTCAACTCAATGTCTTTGTGCCTGGTCGTACAAAACAATACATCTATCACCTTGCGCATATTTTTATTAATTTTATTTCTATACATTTTATTGACCAATCGATTAATCGAGAAAATACTGGTATAATCTTCGATAATGAAATCATTTGTGGTATTTTTTACTTTTTTATTTTCGTTACTACTTATTTTGGTTACTACTTTGGTCCCAGTCATTTACTGTGTGTTTCTCAGTACCTCTAGGATTACTTTGCAAATCAATCTGGCAGTTTCAATCTTGGGTAGTGTGTTTATACTTTTTCTCTTCTAGTGTGACGACTATTGTGCTAATGTTAACTCTTCTTTTGTTTATTCTAAATAAACTACGGCTGTGGTATACATCATGAAACATATCACTTATTTTGTGCCCAAGTATGAATGAATGGGTCGTAAAAAAACAGCCAAATAGCCAATAATTTGTCTTAGAATGTAACGGGTTGACACTTGAAATGATAACAGTGACAGTGCAGACACAGCCCAGACGATACTAGATCTTTTTTAGTGCAAATAATCTGTCTTGTCCGATGTATCAGCGTAACATTTTTGTTCTCTTAAATTGAAAAGATTTCTATACTTCAGTGAGCCAATATAAAGCTGATATTAAGCTAAACGTATAGTCTGTCAGTAGCTTTTTCTAAATGTTATTAGCGCTTTGCCAGCTTTTGAAAGATTTGTTTAGTTATCCTATTACTAAAAGTACAATGAGCAAATTCCACAAGCATAAGTGACATTAGTAAATAAACAAATGGTTTTCCTCCTGCAGTGAACAATAAGATCAAGGTGCCTCCCGGGGCCGAGGAGCTGGTGGGCCGGGCGGTGGAGCATCTGTTTGAGAAGGAGGGCGGTGAGAAGAACGAGTGGCGAGGCATGGTGCTGTCCCGAGCCCCCGTCATGACCCACTGGTACTACATCACCTACGAGAAGGACCCGGTGCTGTACATGTACCAGCTGTGGGACGACTACAAGGACGGAGATCTACGTGTCCTGCCTGAGTCAGGTACAGTGTGAGAGCCTAATGCTTTATATTTCAGATGCTCCTGAAAAGGTGGGAGGAAGAGAACAGGACTACATAGTCAGCATTACAAAACACTCTATTCCGCCTTCTTGTTTTTCATCAACATTTGGTCCAGAGTTTCTGCTTGATTCAATACCATCAGAGAATGTTCTGTTCTTGCTACTCGTGTCTTATCTACAAGGACAAGAAGAGGTAAATAAATAAACTGGGTACAAGGTTCAGCCTCAAATTGTAGATCATTTACCATCTTAATCTCGTAGTTTTTTGGGGATTCATTTTTTATTTGGCTACATTAAAACCATACAAGAAATCCCTTGCTGCTTCTAACGGCTGTATATCATTAAAAATAATATGATTATGGTTAGGGATGCTCCGATCACCAATTTCGGGGCCGATCGCCGGAATCAGTATCAGCCGATGCCGATCCGATCAAGTGGGCGGGGCCTAAATGGAAGATTTAAACATCACTTTAAATCTTCCATTTAAAGTGATGTTTAAAACTCAGTTAATGCGGCTCATTCACTGGAGCTTCCACAAACAACAATCAACTTAATTATTACATTCAAATGATGTACATTATTCAAGTTTACATTCACTTTGGATAATAACACGGGAGAAATGAGCGGAAGCGCTCTCTGTTCCTCTCTCCCTCTCTCTCTCCCCCTCTCTCCCTCTCCTGACAGCCTGTCAGTATCTCATGTAGCTCACTGATCCAGTAATGAGTGACCCGACAGTGAAGAATAAATATACTTATAATAACTAGTTTAGCTTGTTCCAGAGGTAGATACAATAGCTAAGTATTTAACTCTTGTGTGTTTCGCTCCGCTCACCGGTCCGTCTCAGCGGGTGGAGCTGCAGGACTTCTGCTTCACACACGTTGCATTCCACTATTTTACTGTCTTTTTCGGACACCTTGAAATACTGCCAGACCGGTGGAGCCATTTTGGTGAGCTTGTTTTGCCGCGCACAGAGAAAAGTGTCATGTATTTTACGTCATGCGATCGGCTCTCGCGATCGGCTCTCGCGATCGGCATGTTTAGAGAGCACCGATCGATCGGTAGAGAGTGAATATCGGCCGATCTCGATCGGTGACCGATCGATCGGAGCATCCCTAATTATGGTACAAATACCAGTACCCTTTAAAGGCAGGGTGGGTTATGCATTTCAGAAATATTTGTTGTTATATTTGTCAACATTCTTGTTACATCTCAACAGCAATCAGTGACATAATGCACTGACAAAAAAAAGAAAAAGTATCTGTGGCTATTGGTGGACTTTATTCAGTCTATCCAATCATTAATTCGACCTGAAAGAAAGTGATTTTTTTTTTCGTACTCATTCCAATGCTTAATCAGCATTGTGTTCGCAATATCGAGCCCTACTCTTTTTGCATTGTTCTTATTTTGTCTTTCTCTGACTTATCTGTCTGTCTGCTATCCTTCCTCAGAGAACAAACACCTGCTGCCAGCAGACAGGAAGCCGGGTGAGGAGCCAGAGAGCCTTGTGGGTAAGCAGGTGGAATACGTCACAGATAACGGTCTGAAGAGGACGGGCTTAGTTATCTACCAGGTCCCAGCGAAGCCCACAGTATACTACATCAAATATGACGATGATGTCCACATCCACGTCTACGATCTGGTGAAGACCACCTAGTACTGACTGGCTCGTCTCTGACCGACCTGCCGTTACCTGTGAAGTGTTACAGATTTCAGTTTTCTTCCAGCAGGAGGCAGTGTGCCGAAGATCAAAAGCCCCGTCTTATTCTATTTTTGATCTTTTTTAAGCCTCCAGAGTCTTCTCTTCCTCTCACATCACCAGACACCTTGGTTTTTGGTTTTTTTTCCAGTTAGAATTTATGTTGACCTTAATGTATGACTCTTGGGTCCTCTTCAATGTAAATAAAAATTGATTTGAGATCGGTTGTATAGCCCAGCAGATAAAATGCAGCTAGTGCAACTTTCAAACTTCAAATTCATACATTTTGTAAGCAACACGTAAACTAAAATGATTCAGCTTTCTTACCTCTGTGTTTTACTCCTATTTCATTTGACTTTTATATGCCTGTCCTATTTATGTCCTCTGGAACATCCGGCTGTGCTGCTGGTCACATTTGGGCAAAACGTCTGTGCTTTATGTGTCATTACATTATTACATTACATTGCATTTAGCTGACGCTTTTATCCAAAGCGACTTACAATAAGTGCGTTCGACCAACAAAATACAAACTTGAAGAAAACAGAATCATATAAGTACATCAGGTTTCATAGAGCTAAAACATTTCAAGTGCTACTCAACTGGCTTTAGATAAGCCAGTCATTTATTAGTATATAAGTGCTTTGTTAATAGTTCTATCGCTCGAAGTGGAGTCGAAAGAGATGAGTTTTCAGTCTGCGCCGGAAGGTGTGTAAGCTATCTGCTGTCCTGATTTCAATGGGGAGCTCAGTCTGGGTTGGCCTCAGTTTGAGGAAAATAGAAGTCACAGTGAACTATGATTTCAGTGTTTAGACCATTATGAGACTTTACTGTCTCACCATCATGGTTGGAAAACACAGATTATTCAAAATAAAAAAAGAAGTCGTGTATCATATTCCTGTTCCGTTTCATCCTGCATACTGCAAGTTTTCTACATTATGATAATATATGAAAATAATGTTGGTGTCAAGTTGTTTCAAAGGTGTTTGTGCTACACATTATTTCTGTAGTTCAAATTGGCTACCGACATTGTTTAGGTTTTTGGACTGAAGTCTTTATTATTTGCCAAAAACATGAATGATGTGATATGGTATATTCAGGCCTCAACATATTGTTCATTGTGACCCTAAATATGTTATGTTCTGTAAATATAATACAATACACATTTTTATGAACATTATACAAAGCTGCTTGGAAATTATTTTCTCATTAGCTATGAATGCTGTTTGGGTGGATTTAGCTAATGTGTGTGAAGGACATCCACCATGGTTTTACTACACTACATCCATTTAATGGGAAACACATTTGATCAGATGATTGTACTGGCTGAGGTTATCCTAAAGGGCTTCTCCTATGTAGTGGTAAACTACATTTCATTCATAATACAAATCTCTCCAGTATTATTTGTATTTACATATTGCTGATATGTTGGCCTATTGACCCATTTAGAATGTGAAGAGCATTATAGTTACTATAAAAGTGGGCCCTATGTCTGTAATGACTGTAACCTAAATGATTCTTCTCTTTATACAATTACTTTATCTGATAGACCTCTTTCCTTGACCTCTCAAGGAAGAAACACATTATTTAAATAAAATTGACACATAATACCAAGTGTGAATTAAAACCATTAAGGAACAAAAAACTAATCAAATACAAGTTAGGACCAGATGTTGAAAAAATACATAATAAAAACAAATAAAGAGTAAGAATTAAATAACATCTAAATTAGGACTTACTAGAGGCGCTTTGACTAGGTTCCGAAATTGTACTCCTAGTAAAAATGAGTTACCTGTCTTCCTCATCTAGCTCAACAACAAAATAAACAAGATATGATTAAAAGAAAACTGGCAACTACACATTAAATAATAAGTGTAACTTAAATAAAAACAATCAGTGATGTAGCCTAACTCACAAGATAACTGCCTTTGTCTTACAGCCTAATATATTCTGATTCCTCATTTGCTTTCTATAGTAAAAGGCCATGAAATCAGAGGAACAGAAACCACTCACATTCATTCTGATAGGCTGTACATTCAACATATTTTCCCTATTTTCTGTAATCAGCAATTATTTGTCTTACAGTATTGTAAATGATTTATAATCAACAGAAAGAGGTAAGAGATAACCCTGCTTAGATATTTGTAATTATTTAATGCCAAGCACAATCTGCCATGAGGTGGAGCGTATGTCTGATAACAGGTTTGATCCGTGTCTGCTCATCAAATGTCAGCCGTGCTTTGATGCAGCAGACATGTCCTTCCTGATTCTGCTCCTCCTCACCACACATGCAGCCACATGCTGACGGCTCTCCCTCCCCCAGAGTCCTTCCGAGGTGCCATGGGTGCTGCTGACGGCTGCCAGTACAGACAGCGGGGGGACAGTTGGCATACCATCACGCCGGCTGTGTGCCCAGATAGTAATCACAACGAGGAGGGAGTACATGCATTACACAAGGTCTGTGATCTCCACAACGTGTCTGATGCAATGTGTCACCTGTTGTGCACTTCCTTTTACACATCCATGACTCTTTTTATAGCCTTTCCCTTCTTTGTGAAACCATCTGCCTGGGGCTCTTGGCAACTGCTGCCATTTTTCAGACACAATCATTATGAACTCAAGTGTCTTTGACAGAGGAAACCATTTCTTCCTACAAGGTCGTATAAGCTTTGCTTTTTAATTCAGGATTCAAAGCACTTCATGTGTGCTGATTGTGGCTGGGTTGTGAGATGCTGTCCACTTCCTGTGGGGGGCAGGAGTGTTTGGGGGCCCAAAAGGCTGGACAGCGACACGTTTTGTTCCTTTGATTCATATCTTTATTAAGAGAACAACAATAGGCCAGAACAAAGCCAGAGTGTATTATACAATGATCAGATTCACTGCTGACTCCCTCAGTAGTTTTTCATGTATAGAGCCTCTTTCAAGAGGAAAATTATGAACATGTTTATGTTCTGGGATGAAAACCAAATATAAATGAATCACCTTTTAATTTCTCTAGCAAACCGCTGAGAGCTGTGGGAGCTCTGTGAGCTGTGTGAAGGATATGTCTGAATGCAGAACATCTATACACACATATATGAAGGCTTGGTAAGAGAATCCTCCGCTCTATTTTTTCTGCGAGTTGCATTATTACAGGACCTTCATCTGAAACCTTGAAACTTTGTCTGCATTCTTATTGGCCAATAAACAAATGCACTTGACTCTTTTGTGTTGCTTAGCAACACAAGCCAGTCCCTGGTTTTTATATATGAAAAACCAGCATGCCTCCAATCTGGAGACTTACAGGGAGCAGTGTGAATGAGACCAGCCACGATGCATATTTAATTAAAAGCATGCACGCTTTTCTGATTGAAGGAGGCTGTAAGCATTGTCACTTATTAACACAAGATAGAGACAAAATTGATTTGTTCACGTTTATTGTTAGTGAGATGATTTATAGTCAGTGAGATAAAGATGATTCATCATTCAAATACATGTTGGTATCAGGTCAGCTGAGACAATATTAAAGTGCATTATCTAGTCACATTTAAAGTAGCAATATAGTGCTTTTTATTATAAATGTTGCTTTTTGCATTTGAGGTGGGGCTGACTTACTGTTGGAAGCATTCTGCTGCCATGCGTAACAAACATGGGATCTTGTCAGGTCATTCATGCAGGTATCCTGAGGGAGGGAGAGGCAGATAGATTATATGTGGTGTGTTTTCATTTTTTTTTATATCTGAAGCCTCAAGCCTTTTCCACCATTTTCATCGAATGCTTTTAAATCCCCCTCTTCTCAGAAATAATTCTGATCACCTTCCCTACTTGTTATGTATTTAAGCACAGCTGGTATAATCTGGTGTAACGATGAAGCGTCTTGATTTGAAGCATTTTAATTGCACATCTTTGTTACATTTTCTCCTCTTGTGACTACATTATCAGTTTCCCCCCGCACTGGAGCAGAGCAGGACATATCTTACTTCTTAGTGGCTTTGGATTTAAATTGCTCAGATCTGTTTTGATATAATACAAAGCTCATAAAAGGCTTGGCTGTTATAAAAAGCAAAAAACATACAAAACATGCACTGAAGAAACTGATGAAGCTATACAGGCATGCTACTGTCCATTACAGTGACTGAGGCCACTGCTGGGGTCCACAGGGCTTTGGACCCTTCCTATACATGGTCCACTTGTATTTCAACCCTAAGTGTTGCACATATAGCGTTATAGGTAAAGCTTTATGGCAGCAGGCCTCTCATCTGAGGAGTAATAATTGAGAGGAGAATAGTGTGTAGAGACACAAGAACAGGAGAGACCAGAGTGCTTTTTTCCTTTGGGTATTTTTTCTCTGGGATCTCCTCCGCACGGTGTGGCTCATATGTGTTTATTCAATGTTGTCACGTTGGTGCTGATGTGATCAAATTCAGGAACACACGAAAAAGGTTTATTAGCAAGTTTTATTTTACCAACATAAAAGCTATAAATAACATCCAATGCAGATTCAATATGAAACATTTAAATGAACACTTGGGTAGCATAATTGGAAAAAAGTGGAATCAAAGATTGGAAAGGAAGTTAAATACTGGGATATTATTTAGTCTGTTAAAAATATATTGCGTATGCCATCATGAAAGTTGTTCCCCTAGGTTTTTGAGCAATTTTTATTGTACATGATTCAGTTTCATTTGCACCCTGCTTAAACAATGCTTTTGATAGCAGTTTGTTGTGTAACGTTGCTGCTTATTAATGTCCAGTCACATAGGGGCATGCAGGCAGGGATGAATCAATCATTTCCTTTTTTTTCAAGTTGAATAAACAGGAAACTGAGTAACAATACCAACATTGAGACATGAATACATTCTGATTTGAAGCTGACGTGGACTGAAGAGCTCTGCTTGTGCTGAGAGGCAGACTGGGACTTGTTGTTCATTGATCAGCATCACAACAAAATCACTAGTCTTCCACTCAGCACCACCAACACTTTGCCAAAACATCCTCTTAGTTCCTTTTGAAGCTCCACACCCACCGCCTCTTTCAATCTGCAATAAAAGAAGGAGAGTTGTAACACCATAGGAACTCCAAATACTTTAATTCACTGTTAAACATGATGTATTTGCATTTGTAACTCAGAGTGTCAGAGCATTTCAGGGTATGCGTGTGCCACAAGTGTTGCACAACACCCGACCCCCGACCAGTGGTGTGGTGACAGGTTTTGAACTTCAGATGCCGGAGATGGAAACACCACATTGGTTCTCATCTCTGTTTTCCCCTCAACCCGTTTCTCTCTGAAGTCTGTTGACATTCCATCCTTCCTTTGTTGTTGTAATGCCAACCTTTCAGCTCCTCTCAAAAAGGGAGACAGGAGGAGGAGGATCACAGCACAGCACTTAGAATACACGCTGTTCACCATATGCAATACACATAAACCCTAAATTACACCCCATTTAGATTGACAAAATGGAAACAAAGTGATGTGTGTTTCCTTTCCAATTAACCACATTTGGACTGAAAGAGAAAAAGAGACAGACAGATTGTCTTGCATCTCCAATATGTTTTCTGAGCTGGTAGCTATGCAACAAGACTGGGAGTCAGTGGAAGAGGGGGATGGGAAGATGGGGACAGTTTAGTGAGAGGAAGGAAGGGAGGGAGGGAAGGAAGCAAGGAAGGAGGGAGGGAAGAGGGGGGGTGGGGGTCCTTGAGTGTAAACTAGAAAAAATGTGTTGCTGAGCAGAGACAACACTTATACACCAAGATAAGACCCCAGGATAGAGAGTCAATCATCTCCACCAGAGTCCTTTTTATAGTATTAATTCAAAACAAATTACTTAATTTGTGTTGCGTTTGCATTCTCATATTTAATCCTCTGCCGCTCACAAATCGTCCATTTAGTTTCCAGGCAGCAGGGCTATTTTAATTCTGACCATTAGGCTGTGTTAATATTCACCAGACATGTCAACACGATTTCAAACACGAGCTATAAATGCGATGAATAAACCTGATATTCCGTCCAGCTATAGAGACATGAGTACAGCCCTCGATGTAAGAGCTGTCCAGTGTGTCGGTGCTGAATGACGCCCTACTTTCCTTCACGTCCATCTCCTCCTCAGCATCTCGCTTCGATTCCGGCCCGGGAAGAAAAAAACATGCCACCTGTTGCTGCAGCGAAGTTTTCTCTCAGGAGGTTGTAAAGCCAAAAGACCT